GAATCGAACTTTATTAGATATGGTTCGATCCATGATGGGGTTCACAAACTTACCGGCATACTTGTGGGGTCATGCACTCCGTACTGCCGCGTATTTGCTGAATAGAGTTAACACCAAAGCAGTTAAATCCACACCTTATGAACTTTGGCATTCCCGGAAACCCAATTACAAACATATTAGGATATGGGGTTGTCCCGCTTATGTGAAGCGATTAGTGGGAGATAAGTTGGATAGTAAATCCGACTTGTGCTATTTTGTGGGGTATCCCGAAGACTCAATGGGATACGAGTTTTATTATGTCAAAGAAGCAAAGACGTTTGTTTCGAGAAATGCCACCTTTTTGGAAAGGGAGTTTCTATCCGATAGAAAGGGCAGCATGATAGAACTTGAAGTAGTTCAAGAACCACAAAGTGAAGTTCAAACGCAAGAACAAGTAATCGAACCAATACAACAAACCACTAATATACCTCCTGAACCTACGGTACGTAGATCCGAAAGAGTTCGGAAAATGCCGGATAGGTTATTCCTCCTCGAAAATGATGAAGATCATGTTGATCTTGGACAAGATCCAAGAACCTACAATGAGGCCGTATCGGATGCGGACATGGGACATTGGATAACTGCCATGAAATCCGAAATGGACTCCATGTACTCCAACAAGGTATGGATCTTGGTAGATCCACCCAAAGGAATTGTTCCTATAGGCTGCAAGTGGATCTATAAGAAGAAAATTGGAGTGGATGGAAAGGTATCGACCTATAAAGCTAGATTGGTAGCAAAAGGATACACTCAAAGGCAAGGTGTTGACTATGAGGAAACCTTTTCGCCAGTCGCGATGCTGAAGTCCATTAGGATTTTGCTGGCCATAGCTGCGTGGTACGACTACGAGATATGGCAAATGGATGTGAAGACCGCCTTCCTTAATGGAGACATTGAGGAAGAGATTTACATGGCGCAGCCGGAAGGCTTCATATCTTCTGGAAGTGAGCAAAAGGTTTGCAAGCTCCAGCGATCCATTTATGGATTGAAACAAGCATCCCGTAGTTGGAACATTAGGTTCGACTCAACTATCAAGGAGTTTGATTTTGAGAAGAATCCGGAGGAACCTTGTGTATACAAGAAGGTTAGTGGGAGGGCAGTGATATTTTTAGTGCTTTACGTTGATGACATTCTACTCATTGGGAATGATGTAGGAATGTTGCAGCAAACGAAAGCATGGTTGTCCACACGTTTCTCAATGAAGGATTTGGGAGAAGCATCTTATGTATTAGGAATACGCATCTATAGAGATAGAGCGAGAAAGATGCTTGGTTTATCCCAAAGCCTGTACATAGACACCGTTATGAAACGGTTTAGCATGGAAGAATCCAAGAAGGGATTCTTGCCAATGTCCCATGGGGTTCGTCTCTCGAAATCTATGTGTCCGCAAACACCTAATGAAATCGAGGAGATGAAAAGGACGCCCTATGCTTCTGCCATAGGAAGCATAATGTAGGCATGCTATGTACGAGACCCGATATTGCGTATGCTGTGAGTGTCACAAGCAGATATCAGTCTAACCCCGGCCCGGCTCACTAGAAAGCCGTGAAAGATATCCTCAAGTAATTGCGAAGAACTAAGGATATATTTTTGTTCTATGGGGGTGCCGAATTGAAATTAGAGGGTTTTACTGACTCTAGTTTTCAATCGGATGTGGACGACTCAAAGTCGAATTCTGGATTTATATTCACGCTTAATGGTGGTGCCGTGTGTTGGAAGAGTTCCAAGCAAAGCACGACGGCTGATTCCACTACCGAAGCGGAATACATTGCAGCGTCTGAAGCTGCAAAAGAAGGGACTTGGATAAGGAAGTTCATCCAAGAGTTGGGTGTCATTCCTGATGCTAGTGATCCAGTACCGTTGTACTGTGATAACACCGGAGCCGTGGCACAAGCTAAGGAGCCACGATCTCATCAGAAGTCGAAGCATATTCTGAGGAAGTATCACGTGATCCGAGAGATCATTGATAGAGGTGAAGTTAAGGTAGAACGAGTCACCTCGGAAGAGAACGTTGCAGACCCCTTCACGAAGCCTTTACCAAGATCGGTCCATGAGAAACATCGAGAGTCGATGGGATTGCGGTTTATGGGTAGTTGGCTTTAGGTCAAGTGGGAGATTGTTAGAGTAGGTGACCAACAAGCCAACCTGTGGCTGTGGTCTTTCGTATTTATTATTGTAATAAACGAACCTTTATTCGTATTAATGATAAAACCCCTTGGCATTCTATATCTTTGTCCCTTTGTCACAAGCATAGATATAGTCCTTACAGTTATTACAAGTACTAGTAATTGATCGTTAGGATCGTGAGATATTTACTTAAGTATTATAACTGTTAAACGTGTTCCTAGTCGAAGGGTTACGCCACGAATGAGGATATCGGCCTTTCCCATTAAGACTAGCACTTAGTGTATGTGTACTGCATCTCATCAGTAAACGGTATTGTGATATCGGCATGCATAAGTGGGTGCTCGTAAGTTGACGAGTTCAGTGAACTCCCTCACCCTAGAAATCTCTAAGTGGTTCCCAATAATTGAGTAGATATATCTATGGTATAGTTGTACACCATTAGTCCTTATGGACCTAGACATCACCGTGACTTCACTAGAGGACCAGCTGTATCGTGACCTGTCCCTGAGTTCCACCGAGGACCATCCCAAGGGCCAGTGTTCGTGCAGTCCGAAATCTAGTGGGAGGTCTGTGCATTGTAGTCGGGGATTCGATCGCTAGAATAGTCTTGGATGTCCAGTGTGTTCTGAAAGTTTGTAATCATTCTAAGTCTCTGGCCAGAGCTGACTAGGTGATGATTAGAGAATTCGATTCTCTAAGTCATGCACGTAAGGATTACAACACTTGGAACGATCGCACCGTCATCGAACATATAAAGAGGTCTCGATGAACCAATGCCTCTAGTTCGATCGGGACATATGTATCGAAGGGACCGTACTGTACGTTAACTATATCTGAAGGTTCTTGCAGGCACTTCATTTGTATCTAGGGAATCATAACGCGTAGTTGCTAGACGCCAATCTTGATTCGTTGGGTGATTAAGGTGAAACGAGCTTCATCTTAATCGTAACTCGAAGGGGACGAGTTTTGACCACAAAGGGTTGTGGGCCCACGGCTAGCTTACACCTGAACCATCGAGGGTCACACTGCTCGTGCACATGAGATCTTTGAATAAACGGTCAGAGATAAAATAGTTTATCTTTGCATGATTGGAAGTCAATATGATTGAGTCCAACATTCGTAATTTGGAATTATGAATGAGAATGAGAAAAGGAAAAGAATAGGCGAAAGTTGTAGTGAACTTTCTAAATCAGGAAGTTTCCAAATTTAGAAAGTGCACTGAACTAGGGTTTCCACTTTTGGAAAGTTGGAAAATGAAAGATGGCACTCGTAATGACGAGGGAATTATAATGATTCCGAAAATGTAATCATTGCAATTTTTCGGTCATTGAATTAAGAGAGACGAGCATGAGAAAGTACTAACGAACTTAAGCTGTTGGGCCCAGTCCAACTTAAGCCCGCTAGGGTTTTATGCAAGACACTATAAATACAAGATTTATAGGTCTTGCACAACACAAGTGAAACCCTAACCCTAAGCGGCCGACCCCTCTCTCTCTCGGCCTCTCTTTCCGCGGCCACCACCGCGCCGCCGTCGCCTCTCCGTCGCCGGAATCGGCCGTCCATCGGCCGTTTCTTTTCGGTACTCTTTCCTCTTTTCGTTTCTTCCGTTTTATTCTAACTACTTCGTGTCTAGTGCCACGTTTTAGTAGATCGAAGTATACGAGGTGAAATCCGAGAGGAGGAAGACTGTAGATCGAAGAATCGAGGAGCAGCGCACGAGCCGAAGTCGCACGCTGCCCCACGCGCCGCGCCGAAGACCGCGCGTGTACCTCACGCGCCGCCGTGACCTCACGCGCCGCTGCTGCCGCTGCACCGCTGCTGCCCCGATTGTACGGATTGGTTTCCGTAGCAATCTCGACTTGCTAAACACTCCTACCTCACGCGTCGAGAGGTAAACACACGAAACCCTAGTTTCGATTCATTTTCGTTTAAACCTATGTATATGTATTCATGCTTGTTTCGTATGATTTTATGTGATTATGTGTAATCGATTGAAATCATTGCGAGCATGTTATTTGGTTTAAACGCGAGCATGTTAATTGATTTAAATTCGGTTAAATTATTAGCATGTATGTTGTTTTATTTCGCTGGAAGCGCAAAGGTACGCAATTAATTGATTTAATTTGTCGGGCATGTACTTGTGTGTTTTAAAGTCGTTTAATTCGCATAAAATTTTTGTTTTCCGCTGCGTACGCGTGCCCGAAACCCAACAGCTAGTCCCTCCTCGCCTTCCACCTTATCCAACACATTGAGCACTCCCCGCATAATCTCAGGCTTTTTGCAGTAAGAAGATTGATCGTATTGAAAAGCAGGGTTCAAATAATATGCTGTTGCATGGAGATCTTTTGTCAACATAAGATCCCATCTCCTGTCTATAATATCAGTGTAGGGCGTGTAGAGTCTTTTCTTATTTTTAAAAATATTCATAATCCCCAAACGTGCCCTGTGCATGCCCTCATATATATATAAGCCAGGGATGGTTTCTCATCAGTATCGCACAACCGCAACAAGCGTATCAAGGGTGTCATAATCTTCACGATCATCAAACAATTATCCCAAAATTTCTCATCCAATACAATTTGTTTTACTTCTTTAGCTCTTTGCACTTTCGAATATTTCTTAAACTCACCGCTAAGGACCAAACCCTGCAAATCATCCTTATGCGCATGTAAGCTTTGTAAAGCGATAAAGGTAGTAGCAAAACGGGTCGCACCAGGACGGATAATTTCTCGCCGTCCTTTTCTTTTTCTTAGCCAATTCAATGTCACCTTGTGATTGTAGACAAAGACAGTCACCTTTGAAGCAAGAATAGCCAAACTTTGGACGGTTTTCAGCTATCCAACATCTTTAAATATCAAATTCACACAGTGAGCTGCGCATGGCGACCAAAAAATAAAAGGATATTTCTCCGCAAGCTTACCACCCGCAGCTTTATAATTAGCTCCATTGTCTGTTACCATGTGTACAACATTACGAGGACCAACCCATTCCACAATCTCACAAAACAACTTACATAATTCTTCAGCAGTTGAAGAAATATCAGAAGCATCAACAGATTTGACAAATGAAATTCCTTTTGGACAGTAAACTAAAAAGTTAATCAAAGACCTCTGTCTAATGTCTGTCCACCCATCTGCCATTATAGTGCAACCTGTGTCCTCCCAAGTTTTTCTCATAGAATCTATGATCAACTTAACATGCATTTTAGCATCACTCAGTAAGTTAACCCGCAAAGCATGAAAAGAAGGATGTTTATAACCAAGACCCATGTTAGCTATTTTATCAATGGCACCTTGAAAGTAAGGTGAATTGCAAGCATTAAATGGGATACATGCATCATAAAACCATAACGCAATGGCCAAGTCAGTCTCTTTCCACCTTTCCTTATTTTGCATGCATGCTCTAATAGAAGGTTGAGAAGAATGAGTTACCTTAAGATCTTTCTGACAAAATGCTTCAATCTCATTAGAGGCTTTTCTCTTCCCCTTTGACGGTACCTTTTGTGTAGGAATGTCATCACCTTCACTTGATGAGTCGTCAAACACCCCTTTCTTCTCCTTACTTTTCTTTGCATTAGAATCCAATGACCTTTTTATTTTGAGCCGCACTTCTGGGTCAACTTTATTGCAAGAAAAAGTATTTCCTATAGTTCCGGCAAGATGTTGTTTCATTCTGTTAATACCTCCACCCTTATTTTTTTTGTTGCAGAACAAACAAATCAGCAATTTTTTTCCTTCTGCACTTATTCCCTCGGAAACATAATTCCATGCCGCGTCCGTTTTTTTCCTAACTGAAGTAGCTGAGGAAGCTTCTGCTTGTGACGAAATTGTATTACTCTCAAGCTCAGCCATAGTCTCTAATAAATTAAGGGAAAAAAAAAAAAGACAAGTTAATATTTTCACGGTTGAATACGATACTCAAAAAATATTTCAATTAATTAATGAAAGCATATCAAATCGTTAATGTCTTTACTCTTTTGCATTAAAATTATTTCTTGTACAATAGATATGGTATTAGAAAATAACATAATTTGATATATACGATATTAAATGGTGAAAAAACTACAAGTGTAAATAGAAATTTTAAATTCACATCTAAACAAAATTTGTTTGAAGAATTGAAATCTAAACAAAATTATTATCACATGATTAAACAAAAGAATTTAAAAATTGCACGATTCATCTACACGAAAGAGGGTACCGGCAGGTTGTGAGGGCAGCGGTGGCTGGCGGCGGCCGGCGGTGGCTGGTGGTTTGCGGCGGCCGGCGGTGGCTGACGGCTGGAGGATTGGGCGGCGGCTGGGTGCGGGAAAGGCAGAATAGGTACAGTACAGACTTGTTTGACAAGTCTGTTCAATGTTTAACGTGATTTTTAATTCAATTTTTTTTTTATTTTTTTAAACCTAATAATCAAAACGACGTCGTTTTGATAAAAGTATTAAAAAAATATATATAAAACGCAGAGTTTAGGAATCGAACCCGGGTCGGCGGCCGGTTCGCCGGGTCGCGGGTTCCACCCGGTCAGACCGGGTTTCTGGTAGTTGACCCCGGTTTTGAATTTATGTGGGTTTGGGGGTTAGACCGGACCGGTTTTCCGGCGGGTCGCGGTCGAACCGGTCGGACCGGCCGGTCCGGTCCGGTTCTAATAACATTGGATTACACTCTAGGGAATATACCCCTTATTTCGAAAATATTTTAACATACCCCCTGGGCTACTTGAAGTCCCTATAATACCCTTTTAAAATCAGTTTTAAACCCTAGCCCAACACATTTCGGTCTCTCTCTTCCTCTCCCAGTTTCAAAATCCCGCCTCCACAAACATCCCACCGGCGAAATTGGTTCCCGGAGTCATAAATCTCTCTCCGGTGGTCGGAATTCGATGGTTTAACTACCGTTGGATTCCTCTCGTCGAGCTCTTTCTTTTGGTTGTGATTTCATTTAGTTTGGAGCGCTGATCTGTTTCTGCAATTTTTATTCATTCGACGACGGTGGTCTTGCCGGAGCTTTGTTTTGTGTTCCACCCGTCGAAATTTGACGGGCTACCCACCGTTGGATTCCTCTCGTCGAGATCTGTATTTTGATGGTAATTTCGTTTATTTTTATGTTTTCAGATTTATTTCTATATTTTTTTGCATTTGTGGGCGCGCGGAACCGTTGGTGGTTATTAGCGGCGTCTAGGGATTTGGTAGGAGGCGAGGGGGGTGCAGACGCACTATCTGTTTGATTTAAAATCTGTAGCATTTTTCAGCAATAAACTCTCTCTCTATCTCTCTCGATCTCTTAGTGTTTGTTGATTTTTGAGTGTTTTGATATTTTTTCAAATTTTTTGATTTGCATTAAAGTAATTTTTTTTGTTTTGATTTTGCAATTGCAGCTTAATGAAGGTCATTGATCATTTCCTTGAAGGTGTCAAAATTTTTGTTTGAAGTTACATCTGATTTGTTCAACAGACTGTATACATTACTGTACATTACTATACATTACTATAGTAACATGTAGTTACATATGCGTATATTCGTGTATTTTCGATTTGTATTTTATTGGTTTTGAGGTGATTTATAATAAAAATATTGAAATTTGTAAATTTTTGTTGGGGTTTTATGAATTTGGGCTTGGGTTTATCCCTAATTTATTTGGTGGCTAGAGGGTATGTAAAATAACCCCATTATTAAATCTTGATTACAATAATACGTTGTTTTGATATATATATGGGAAATGATGAATACAGAACGGCTTTTAGTAAATGTAGGATATTTTTTTTTATCTGTATTTTAGAACGTATTTTAGTAGCTACAGACATTTTACTATAAAAATTAATTCTCATACAATATTTTTCATTAACGGTCTACAAGACTACATATAGTCGCTACAATTTTCAATCTCAAACACATTTGAATAAACTCTTTAAATTCTTTTTTATTCGTTTATCCTACAAAATATTTTGTCCGATGAAAAATATTCACTAGAATCGACTTCTTCAAATGTCTTGAGATGATTCCGGTCCAAATTAGTAACAAACTTAATATATATTATAAAATTTGGCACGAAAAACAGAAAAAATGAAAATTTGGCAGATAAAACAAGAAACTTTTATTTTTTCGCACCAAAATGATTTTTTTTACTTCACTTTCAACCGTATCATCCTCCAAAACCAGTAAATCCATGTTCTTGGTGATTAATGATGATTAATTGTGCGATATTCTTCCAAAATAATGTTCTCGGAGACTTATAAAAAAAATCGAAAGAATAAGATGAGATATATTATTATGTTTTGAATTTTTAAATAAAGTGTCTACGTTTATCAAAAACTCTTCATGTGATATTCTCCATGTCGTTAAAAACTTCTAAAAGAAAGGATTTAACAAAGGGGTAATATGCGTGACACCCCTCAAATCAAACCTAATTAGATGTGAAAGACAACCTCAAATAGAATATTTTAACTAAATCCTTAATTTTAAACCAATTTTGACATACACCCTTTTATTTTATTTTAACCCCAAAATACCCTTAAACCTAATTAAATATCACGTGATTCTCTTCTTCTCTTATTTCTCTCTCTCTCTCTCTCTCCCTTTTTGTCTTCTGCGCCGCCCAACTCCTCCCTTTCTCTCTCTTTCTCTTCTTTTCATTTTATATTATTTGTGTGCCACTCAACATCTCCCCTTCACTCCATTTTTTTTCTTTTGGTGTAGTAGATCTGAAATTTTGATGATTTGAGGCGGAGAACAACAGATATGTACCCAGCGGCGGCGGCGGCGGCTATTCCGAAAGAGCTTTGCGTGGCGGCTTTGCAGTACTCGACTCGCCTAGAGCCGGTGGGAAGGGGAGATTGCATCACCCTTTGTGCACGTGATGGTTGGGGGCAGCAGTGAAGGGTTGGCGATGTGTTTCAATAACGTTGGTTTGCTTGGTGCACGTTTTTTGGAGCGACAAGGGTTGGGTGAATCCATGGTAGATGTGTGTTTAATTGCTTACGAGGCGAGGACGGCTTAACGGTGGTTTGTCTTCGTTTGCTGGCGGCTCTCGGTTTCAAAAGAGTGATATTAGGAATTTCAGAATGACTACAGTAGTTTACGAGTCTGACGGCGTTGTGAATCGAAGGGTCGGCGCGAAGGTTCAAGAGTGCGGATCTAGGGTTTCATAGTGACTATAGTTGTCTATGGATTACTACAAGTGACTATAAGTTACTACGGATATATATGTTCAGAGTTGTCTATGGATTACGACACGTAACTATGGGTTACTATAGTTGTCTACGTGTTCCTGGTGCAGTGACAATGGGTAGTATGCTGTGAAATTAGATATATGATTTGAATGACTATAAATGACTACGTGGAACTATGAATGACTATATTGTGATTCATATTCTGCATTTATCGATTAAAAAAACAAATAAATAATAGTTAAAAATGTATAAAGCAAATTAAAAAGATATGAAATATTAATTTTAAATATCAGACAAAGAAAAAATACGAAAAAGAAAAAAAAACTGAGAAACACGTTCCACGTAAAAAAAATTATAACAAAAATTTTAGATGCAAAAATGAAAATATTAAATTCAGAATAAAAATCGATAATAGCAGTTTAAATATTACTTGGAGCATATTTCATTTTTTTTATATATGGAGGGCATTTTTGGAATTAAATTTGTAAAGGATGTAAAGCAAATGTTTAGTTGGACTTGTCATTTAGTTCTAATAAGCTTTGCCACTAGGGACCTATATCTTAAGGCCCCTTTAACAAAATAAGATGGAATATTTATTAGCATTTGATTTTTTTAAATAAAATATCCTACATTTATTAAAAACATGTTCTGCATTTATCACCACCCTATATATATATATATATATATATGTATGTATGTATGTATTCATGTAATATAATAATGTATTTGAGGGTAATTTTGTATTTTTAATGTTTTAGTATAGAAACAAATAAAATCTTAAACAAAAAAGGTGGGGTGTAGATACTTTTTCAAAAATATCTTATAAGCTCCTATCAGCTTATTTTTTGAAAAATTAAGATCTTTCGTATTTTTTTACCAAACACTTTTTAAGAACTTATAAACTCTTAAACATGTTATAAAATGTTTTTAGGAGCTTATAAACTTAGCCACAGAGGCTCTAGAATTGCAAATTAGTAAATATTTCAACTCAAGAAATTCCCCCTCTCACATGTCTCCCATTGGTTCCAACAGTAATTGAGGGTCACATTCTTCTTCGTAGTAAATAATTCCCAATTTTTTAACGTTCGAAGTCATTTTAAGGATGCTTTTGGAACATAACGAAAGTGTATGCAGGTTTTGTAGAGCACAAGTGGTCTCTCTCTCCTGATCTGGATTTGGTAACTGACCAAAATAGTTGTATACAAGATGATCTTCGACCGCCCATAATTTGACGAGCTTCGAGGCACGAATCACGTGATCTTCTGGAAAGGTACCCATGTACAAGAAACACGGCCTCAAATGATGAGGCAATTGGGCGTAACTCAAAGACAATATCTTCTCAATGTGCCCATCTTTCGTAGAATTAATGGCCGATTTTACATTTTCCGCAATTTCCTCCCACGAAGATCGAGTTCTACTCACTGTAGAGAGAAGCCCTCCAATCACAACAATTGCGAGAGGCAATCCTTTACAACCTCCCGCAATGTTTTGCCCAATGTGCTCCAATTCCTAAGGACAGCGTTCTCCGGGTGTGAACGCCTTACTTTGAAGCAAATCCCAACTTTGATCAATGTCCATGAGCCGAATCTCGTGAAGAGGGCTAGAAAAATCGGCATAAGCAGCCGCATCTAAAAGTCGAGTTGTTAAAACGACTCGGCTCTAGTTATTGCCATCGGAAAATATCCTC